GGAAGGGCAAGTGGGGCAGTGCAGTCCCAGCACCGCCACCCCTCCCAGCTCCCTGGGATGTCCCTTGCATGATAGTCCCCTGCACGTGGTGCAGGGTGGCTCCTTACCGGAGGTCCTGGGGGTCCCGGGTCTCCTTGGCTGCCCTGAAGGGAGGAAGACATGGGGTCACTGCAGGGATGGGTTTTCCCCAGTGGGTGCACCACATGTCCCCTGGGAAAGGAGACCCGACAGTGCCAGCAGCTCTGGTAAGCACCCATGCCAAATGAGGACAAGCCTGGCCAGCTCCTGGCACCCACCCACCCAGCAGGGTGGCCCACCATGGCTTCACCCACCGCCCATGGCCAGGCGCCCCCAGCTGCATGCTGACGTGGGAGGGCACAGTGACATGGGGGACACACAGACACCTACCGGGCGTCCCAGCACGCCGGGGAAGCCTGGCAAGCCCTGCAAAGAACCACGTCAGAGCCAGCGGGCGAGCAGGACCCCGCCACCACCAACCAGACCTGCCTGCCCCCCAAGAGATGCTCCCCATTCCTGGTGTGCAGAACCCAGCCTGGGGTACTTATGGCAGGAGGGGCCAGGAAGCCCCCTAAAGCCCTGTGGGCTCTGTGCAGGGCGGGGAAGGAGGTGAACGAGACTTGAATGCTTCTGCTGGTGCCAGTGGTGGCAGGTGTGGGACCACAGGACCTTCCCCCCATCCCAGCCCGCATCCCCCCACCATGTCCCCACTCACCGGCTTCCCCTCAGGGCCAGCCAGCCCTCTCTCACCCGGGAGACCCTGGAGCAAGAGACAGGGATGGGGTCAGTGCAGGTGGGGGGGTCTGGTGTCAGCACCAGAATGAGGGGCAGTGCAGTACTCACCGGGGCGCCGTCTCTGCCCTTTTCGCCAGGCTCCCCTCGTTCGCCCCGCGGGCCACCCTCACCCTGCAGCAGGGACAGGCGCAGGGTTGTAGGACAGTCAGGGACCTTCTTGTTCCCCCCCAGAGCTTGGTGACACCCGAAGAGGGGTATCTCAAGCAGTGCCCCTGCTCTAGGGCTTTGCTCCCTGGGGCCGCCCCATTGGCAGCAGGAGACTTACGACCGCAGACCTTATCTCCTTTGGGTCCCCGCTCGCCCTCGGCTCCCAGCTCGCCCTGCATCGGGGAGAAGACAGATGCCATCAGCCCCTGCTGCCCCCCCAGGGATGCCTGCCCCACCACCGTCCTCAGTCCCAGCCCAGCTCATCACGCTGTCCCTGGCTCAGTCACCTTGGCTGCCCCACTCCTTCTGCCCAGCCACACACCTTTGCTCCTTTGGGTCCAGCGGGGCCACGCTCGCCTGGCAAGCCCATCAGGCTGCCCTCCACCACGTCTGCCTGCGGGCAGGGTGCAGTCAGGGCCAGCACTCAGGGGACCCCAGGAAGATCCCTCCAGGAGCACAGCCCGCCCTAAGCCCCTGTGCCAGGGGACTGGACGTGGCCATCCATCCCTAGAGGTGCAGGCTGGCACCCCTTGGGGATGGTCCCCAGCAGCATCCATCACCTACCTTGGGCCCCGGGGGCCCTGGGGGGCCAGGCAAGCCATCCCTGCCCTGAGGAGCGGAGAAAAATAGGTTGAGTATCAAAGGGACAGCAGGGCATGGGGGAACAGAGCCATCCCAGTACAGCCACTCCTGGTCCCCGTAGGGCATTGCCATACCCCCCAGAGAGTCCCTGTCCCCTCTATGCAGGAGGGACGGAGAGAACTGT